TTATTTTTAAAATGCATTTCTGGTGAGTGAGGAAAGGTTTTGTACTATGTTTTCAATGACTCACCCAAAATAACTCCATTGAACTTGTAAAGGGTCCTGTTCTGAATGTAGATTGTGTTTGTTCTGCAGTAGGCATGAAGGAACTGCAGAAGGGAGATTACAGACGGGAAATGTGCTTGGGAGAGGCCGGTGGAGTTCATATTTATTCAGGCACACGTTAGGAGAATTGATTTTCTGGAGAGAGAGAGAGAGAGAGAGAGAGAGAGAGAGAGAGAGAGAGAGAGAGAGAGAGAGATATGTTTATGGGGAGGATGCATGTACCCATCCATATTCACATGTGGAAGAACCATTATGAGGTCCATACTCTTAAAACCTTCCAAATCTATCAGTATTCCATAGATAAATGGTATATTCAGGTACTAACTTTCTCTCATCTTCATAAAATATGTAAGGGGAGTTTTATGTACAAATGCATACTTTCAAATTGTGCATAGTGAACAATTCTTTTTAAGTTCTAAGTGGTTGTAGTAAAAAAGTAATCATGCACATAAGAAAAGATAAGAAATAATCACATTAGGAAGAAAAGAGTATCTCAACAAATTGACCACATAACATACAGGATTATGTTAACACTGAGAAACTCAAAATAACCTTCTGCTGTTTTGTTGTTGAGTGCACATAAATCTTTCCCATCAGCAAGAATTGGTACCAATGAGGCATTTGATGTGATACATAAACCCCATAAAACTTGTGTGACTAAAAATGTCAGAGATCTTGGAAAGCAATATTTTAGGGCAAAACTGAGAAGAAAAAGAAAAGAGATTAATCCAAACTGAGCTTCTAGGCTTCACAGATGAATTACAAATATTTTGGCTTTCCTAGATAACTATGTCCAGTAAGAAGAGTCCAAAACCACCTTTGAGTTGTTCTACGAATTTGTGGAACAAACCAAAGGAAGCTTATTTATTAGTTACATAAACTTGATTTACCTCACTGAGGATGCACTGGATGAAGACGGGCAGGGGCTGTTCTTACCTGCTGTTCAGAAACAGGAGAGAACTGAGTCACTGGAAAGAAAACAAGCTGGCTACAAATTTCATTTTGAAAGGGTAAATTTAGCATTATCTGAGAAACATGAAATTGTGACCTGAGAGTAAGAGATAAAACTGAGAAGCCTCTAAAGTGCACAAAAGCAGAGAGTGTGTAAACTGATGACTCACTTATTGTGTAAATAAATTGCAAGGCAATGTTCTAGTGGTACTCACACCTTTCCCTCTGATACATACTTGGTAAAACAAGGAAAACAGAAGTAGCAGATTGTTGGGCTTGTGATGAGGAAAAGCAAGTAATCCATACTTCCTGAATTTTTGCTACTATGGAAAATCTAACATAACAGGTTTGAGCTCCATAGTTCATACAGTTTTATTTCTTTAAAACATATGCAATAACTAGCAATACTTAAACCAGAAATATTTTAATTATTAATAACAGCCTCTTGGAATATATCACAGAACCAATCAAAATCAGACTATCCTTCCTCATAGTTCATTAACATACTTGATTTCTAAGTAAATCTTTTGAATATTTCTGGTGTTTATTCTTACTGATTGACATTTTCCTTTGATTTTCTTTTATTCTACTGCATCCCTGTCCCCCACTGATGGTATCCCTAGAAATGCTAATAGGTACTGAAGAACCAAAAAGATTTCTTTTGAAATGAATTTTAGAATTACCAAGCTAACCAAAGTTAAATCATGCTTGCTTAAAATAATTTTCAGGAATTCCCAAGTCTTCAATATTGGGATTTAGCTAGATGAGGAAGAAGGTAGAGATGGCTGTAGTATTTTTCAAATAATGAGTGAAAATTTGATAAAACTTTAATTCTACCATTCTTTGATGAGATTCTGAATGATTAAGGTTTTGAGGCCCTAAATAAAATTTTGGTTACACAGATATGAATGAACCTAGAGTCAAAATAAATCTTGTTATTTGGAGGCTTGTTAAGATTTTGAAATTTTACATATCACAAGCTTATGATAGAAACTTTTCATTTAAAATTGTGTTATTTAACCATAGTGTTTTCTGACTTCTGAATTTATTTTCATTTTTAAAAACAGCTCCGTAAGCATGCAAATAGAAGCTACTCACTAAGATGAGACTAATTTCCCCACATGATTGCCCTCTGCAATATAATAATGCCAATAGCTTTAGTGAGCACTTGCTTCATTTCCTATGACCCCCACACTAACTGGGGAAGGTACTTATGACTGTAATTTCACAGATAAGGAAAGTAGTTGCCAGAGAGATGAACTATATATTAAATAAGAAGAGAAAACATTTAAACTGATACCAAAGGCCCTACTGTTTTCACTCTCTCCTGTAAGCACCAATGACTTAAACAATATTCTTCAGATAATGGTATTTGTGATGGAGATTTGCTGCTTGTCTAGACTTGAGTACAAGCCATGATCTAGGCTTTCCTCATATTTAGTATTCATTATTGAATAAATGAACCATCTCAAACAACAACAAAAAACCCCTCAGTGTTGACAATCAATACAAATCCCCTGGTTTTCAAGGTGACAGCATGCTGTTTGATGGATTTCCTTCTCACATGTATCTTTAACATTCTGCATTAAAGTTTTCCATGTAGAAGAAAAGGCACATTTGTGCTACTACAGATTCAATAATTGATATACTCTACTCTAATATTTATATCTAACAATGTAAACAAAAGTAATTAAAATATAATAGATCTTGGAGGAAAAAAAACATAAAGCAAATCTATCACCAGTTTGTCTATTCTGAAGAACAACAACAAATAGAAAACTTACCTCAAGAGGACTCAGTATTCCATGTGGAATCAGCATGGTATTAGTGATACAAGAAAGATATTAAAAAAATGTTCTCTACTGTCTCATGTTTACAGTGTGGGTGGTAAGCTAAACATACTGCCTGTGGCCAGTCATATTATTTGCTACATAATTCAGTCCCCTAATAAATGCTGTGTACATTCTGTGGTGTATCAGGGAGCTGTGGGAGGGAGATGGCCGGGACTGGTGGGACCATAGTGTGACCATAGTGTGAAGACATTCTGGTTCATGAAAGCATTATACAGAACAGGAATGAATTAAAAGGAAAGGACAAGGAGCCAGCAACAACACAAGGGTATGACAGGATGGAAGCTGGGTGGGGAGAGCATATGGACACGGCAGGATCCAACAACGCCCTGGATATAATTACGAAGGCAGTATATACTCTGTGGCCTTTGACCAATCCCATCCACACTTCTGTCTGCCCCTCCCTTCACTCTCTGCCTGTCTCACCTTCCCACAGGTAGCTAGACCTTATCCTGTTTTGGAAGGTCATTAAAGCATTAGCTGTATCCTTAATATAGGACCCCTGAAAAACTAAGAGGTCTTAAGAATTCAAAGAAAACATTTTTATCCATAAAAGATCAAGCCATTGAGATGCTAGTACCCTCGTTCTAGCTCCCTCTACCTTTCACAAGTGTAGGAGGGCCATAATAATACTGTATTTGTTGGCTGTGAAGAGCTAGCCTGGATTTTGGATTTGAACTTGGGGATAGTGGTAACCCATTGGGAATTGTTGAGTCTAGCAATAAATAATGATGTAACCATAATTATAAACTGTAGGCTATGTACTAGAAAGAAGATAGGAATCAATAAAGACCAGAAAGTCAAAGTACTATTTTAATGGTCTGTGCCTACGTGCCCCAAACTCTAGATACCATTTTGTCTCAAGATCATTTTACATTCTAAATATTCAAAAAACCATTACTTCCTTTCACTATCAGTAACCATACGTTAAAATTGAAATTTCATTAACCAAATATAAATTTCAAGTGGAAAACTTTTTTCCTTAAAATATTATTTATTAAGAAGAGTACTTTTAATCACATTAAGGTCAAATCCAAAAGTACTGGAACTTGATTTTCGGAGTTTGGCCAAGTGTAATAAAATATTACAAGCCTCATACAGTATGTGTAGATAGTCTAGATCTAATATGAGGGGGAACGTTGTAGCTTGCGAAGTTGCACTGCGTCTTATTTTCAACAGAATTTGAATCTTTTTTCTCATATCTTTTTTTTTTTTTTTTTTTTAAATAACAAAACAGAAGCTCGTTTTCAGAATAATTAGTTACCTTGACATCTTGTGGCATCTCCTGGGACCCAAATCCAAGCAATTGATGACCTCTACATTTTCCTAGTCGTTTCTTGCTCTATTTTTCCTTCACTTTTTTATCTGCAGTTCAATGTGATATTTTTATTCTTTCTCCGCTCATTTTCATACCTCAACAACTACGACGCATAGCTTTAAGTATGAAACACTACCGGAAGCTTTGACATTTTGGCAGTATCAATCCAATGCCTGTTTCATCCTTACCCAATCTCTCAGACATTATTCCACAAAGCACTCCTCAAAGTCTGGGTCTCAGGAGCAGGGCAGTCACTGCTTGCAAATGGGGGCGTTTTGTGAGACTTGGCCTCCTCACTGTATTTGAACTAACGAGGAGGAACTGAGAGAAAGAAAGGCTATAAACAAACAAACAAATCTGACCCCTTTCAGGGAGCCAGGCTGCTCGGTGCCCAGGGAGGACGGCCCCACTCCTCCGCTCCCTAAAGCCCCCGGCCGGAAGGGGGCGTGGCCTCCCCAGTGTTGGGGGCGTAGAGCAGTGCAAGGGGCGGGACCTGACACTCCTCCAGGGAGCCAGAAGGCGGGAACAGAGATGGGGAGTGTCCGGGGAGGGGGCGGGTCCAGGGCCCTGTGCAGGAGGTGGGGCGGGGCCTGTGCGCTCCAGACTGGGGTGGGACCCGAAAGGGGTGGGGCTTGCCGGCCTTGGGGCGGGCCTGGCCGCGCTGGCGCTCAGCGCCAGTGGAGGTACCTCTAGCCACTCGCGCTCCCGCGCCGCGTCCGGCCGGGTTCACGTGAAGCGCCGGCCCTCCGTCCCTCCCTCCCCTTCCTTCCCTCCCTCCCTCCCTCCCTGTCCCCTCCTCCTCCGGCGCCCGCTCCAGCTCCCCCGGGCCCCCAGCCCGGCCGGGCGCTGACAGCAGCGGCGGGGGTCCCAGCGGCTGCCGCCGTGTCCCTGGCAGGCTCCGGCTGCGCCAGCGGAGCCCCCAGCGAGGCCATGAACCGGCCGCTGACGGCGTCGACGGAGGCGGAGGAGGAACTCGAGTGGCAAGTGGCGAGTAGCAGGAGGAAGGCCTGGGCCAAGTGCCGCAGCTCCTGGCAGGCGTCGGAGGCGGAGGATCTGTCCACAGAGGCGACGACGCAGGACGAGGACGAGGACGACGACGAGGACCTCCCCGGCGCGAAGCTGCCGGCGTCCGCTGGGCGAGGTCGTGGCTGCGGGCCGGGTCGTGCGGGCTGGCGGGCGGGGAGGTCGGTGCGGGGCGGCCCTGAGCTCGGCGACCCGGGGCCACAGGCCGGGGGGGACCGGACGCCGCCGACCTTTAAACGCGCGCGTGACCCGCCTCCGGGGCGGCATGTGCACCTGGCTGCAGCCGGCTCCCCTCGGTCGGACGCGGGGCGGCTGGTGAGCCTCAGGCTGCAGTTTGTTCCCTGGACCCACCCAGCCTTGAGTCCTTTGGGGGGGTCCATAACGAGCTGTTCCTTCGCTCTGCTCCGCAGGGAACGTGCCCAACGAGAAGATTGCGATATGGCTCAAGGACTGCCGGTGAGTCCTAGCTGCCTGGGACAACAGTGGGACTCGGGCTGTTCCTGTGGGTCCCACGGCTGCTGAAAGCTAGGAACCGGAAAGTGAGCCGCCGGATAGCTTCCTCCTTGAAGCGGTTAGAAATGGAAGTGGTGTGGCCCCTGATGATTTGCCGTGGCGTTGGCTTTAAAGTGAGGACTTCAGCAGGATGTTCCCGGTCAGATCAGAAACTCAGATCACCGTGATGCTACTTTAGCCGTGGCTTTTCTTGAAAGAATTCTCAGGTTTCGCGGGATATTTTATTTTGGCATCTGCATATCTGGCGTGGAGTCATTTTCCTTTCAAATGAGTTTTTAGACGACCTGAATTTAGTTAACTACACTAACTGGGCTTTGATTTGGTTTGTGTGCCTTGATTCTCTTTGGGGAGCTGCTAAAACTAGCTAACTTGGTCCTGGTAGTTTACCTTTTGGACACGGATTTGTCAGATGGCATTGGGATTCACCGGAGGAAATAGAGCTTTGAAGGCTCTATTCAGACTGCATAAGTCAGTTGAGTTGCAGGCTTTGGCAACAGGCGCAAAAATGTTTGATAAAATACAGAGGAGATGAATCATATTGCAAGTAAATCTGACTACAGTGAAATGTTCTTGTTTCAATTTCATTTCTTTCCAATTTATTTGCTGTTTATAAAATCTTGTGTAAAGGATGTGTAGCTTTTTAACTTTTGGTGGTGTTTACTTCTGGGCATATTACTGATTTCTCAATTTATAACTTGTCCTAACTGGAGAACTTGTTTCTTTGTTGTTTTGGAAGGTGATTCTTCTATATGCTAGCTTTATTTTTCAGGGCTAAAGGCAGATAAAATACTGACTGCCTCCTTAAGTAACTGGAGCTTTCCCAAACCTGTTTACTACAGAATTCCTTAACTTGTATTGAGGGTGAACTACTATGATAATAGGCTGAAATGTTAGGAAATATATAGACCTCTTTCAAGTTGCATAGAGGAAAACACATTGCTTCAAGTCATCATTAGATTAACAGTCCATCTTATTTTAACCACAGATTTCCAGGCCCTTAGAAATAACAGTAGTGTGTACCAGGGCCTTGTTTAGTTGTTAAACATCAGAGTAGTATGGAATTTAAAAGGCTGAAAATTTAAGTGTGCATCTTCAAAATTTTTTAAGAGTTTATGAAATCACTGTCTTTCTGATTTTCTTATGGATGAATGTGTGAATGGGATATATGCTTGCTTTTACTCAGGTCTTTTT